ATATGTTATTGTTGATTCAAGGGCAGAGCTATACGAGTTTAATATTTTTCTCCCTCGACTTGCAGCAAGAATCTCATCGTCCTAATATTAATATAGGTCAATAGAAGAGTATTATAAAAAAAAAATGTATTTATCACTTTCTTAGATACATTTATAACCCAAATAAAAGAACGGTTTTTAATTCATCAGCCAGCACTTGCCAATCTGCAGATATTACTACCACAAAAGCCTTTCCAACCTTTTTCAGATGGTGATAGAAAAGAAAATATTTGTTTTATGCCTTATTAGCTGAATAACTGTTTAAAAGATTAACTATGATATAGTCCCAAAAAATGCTATGGATGCTTTGTATAATTTCAAACACATTTTAGATTATATTCCCAATGTATTAAAATGTTTATATGTATATATATTACCAACTCTTCCCATTAGTAAACTAATAAGAGAACATTCTCTTTCTTAAGAAGAATAACAGAGGCACGGCCCGGATTTTTTTTAAATAAAATATTCAGGCCCAACCCGGATTTTTTAAAAATAAATTATACTTATTTTTGATTTTTATAGCTAATAATGGCGATTTCAAATATTTGGTTTTAAATAGTCCTGCGCGGATATTTTTTAAAAATAATTTTATGTCCGGCCCGGGTGTTTTTTTAAAAAAATTTCAGGCCCGACCCGGGTGTATTTTAAAAAAATTTCAGGCCCGGCCCGGGTATTTTTTAAAAAATTAGGGCCTGTAGGTCTCTGAAAAACATATTTAAAAAGTACAACTTCTGAATGTAGATTGAATGGTTTGGATGTTTTGAATATTCATAGGCATGACGCCAGGCAAGGATGAGATAATTGAAAAATTAGCTAAATCCCAAAGAAGATTGAATTTTACATTGTAAATATATAACATACAGAATACAATTATTCCTAAGAAACTTTTTGTGTATTAATATTTATATTTCCAACATTTAAATTTTTTATACTTTATATATAAATTTTAAAGGCTCAAAAAATTCAAATTTCTATTTTGGGTCATTTAAGTGATTCATATGATGGTTATATTCACTTTATATTTTTTAATTTCACATTTATTTCATAGTTTTTTATGTGCCGGCTTCTATATATAAATTTTATAATACACATTAATTTAAAATTGTGTATTAGAAATAGTTATTAGTCCTAATAAATTTATGCTTGATATTTTTAAATAGCAATATTTCTTAAAAAATTTTATTATCCCCCCCCCCCAGACCAAATTCCTGCGTACGCGCTTGAATGAATGAATTATGACTATGAAATGGAACAATTATATCTGACTATGACTATGAACAAAAAAATTATATGGGTGAATAATTGATATTAATGGCAAATTATTTTTGGTTCAAAGAAATAATTAATTTGGTACAAATGAAAATGTTCATGCTGATTAACTAAATATTGAATGAAATTGCAGAAGAATGAAGTATATTCACTTCACAATACAATTATTAAAAATGAGAACGATAAAATTATGATTATAAAATGATTTATTTAAATTTGGAGAATAATTCTGTTATGAATATTTTGAAATCTGTTGTTAATAATATAATTTAATGAGGATTTGAAATGGTGAAGATATGAAATTGTTGATATGGAAATTCTTAGTGAAAATGGAACATAATTGTAGAAATTATGTGAAAACATGAAATTATTAATTATAGAAGTGGCATTACATGGGAATTTAGACATTTGAGAAATGGATGCTTATAGAGAACCCTAGCTAATTGAGACATAATTATATAAATACTATGGGATGCTGGGCTTTCAAATCTCGTGACCTATACAAAAAGTAATGTGGCTTCCGTAAGTCAGATTTAGCCTTATTTGGGTTAAAGGACTAATGACTTGTGCGGTGTAGGGATATTGATTACCTCATAGGCCTATCCAAAGATGATAGCGATCTCTTGGCCAGCTCTAGGATAACGGTGACCCCGTGGGCCATTGAAGCATTGTCAACCAATCTATAATGGACTAAATAAAGATACTCCGGTGGGAGATCCGTCGGATTGATACTCCAGTGGGGAATCAAGCTTACAACGAAATCGATAAGGATATGTCGATATTGATACAGGTTGGAGCAATCTATTCAGTGGCGTAGCTACGGGGGTGGTTTTCGGGTTTGGACCCCTCCCAGAGCAAAAATTTTTTTTAGATTATACGTTCAAAAGACTTAAAAGTGATTTTATATGAATTATATTTTTCTGGTTTTGATGTTTGTGGAAGGATATTATATTACTATTGAAATTATTCTGGATAGTATTATTATAAAGTCATTGAGAATAATCTACTAAATTATAACATATTATTGATGCATTTAAAAAATATATTTATTATATATTATCGAAGATATGGTTATGATTCTTTTATATGGGCCCCCTCTAAGGAAAATTCCTAGCTACGTCACTGAATCTACTCGATAAAGATACTCAGGTGGGAGATCCATCGAGGTTGATATTCCGATGGAAGATCAAGCATAGAATGGAATCGATAATACTCCGATGGGATATCTGTCGATCTTAATACTCTAGCTGAGAACAATCGCACCAAAACAGCTACTATTTATGCTCTTTTGAGAGAGCAAAATTTTTATTGAGGGAGAAGAGTGGATGTTAAAAAGGTAAACGGTAATGGTAAAAAGAGACCAAAGACAATAAATTTTTAGGAAAATCTTTAAGTCGTGGATATCTCAAGATGTCGGTTTTCCTTTCAATAAGGTGCTTTATATACATTGTTTTAATCACAGTTGCATCATTAATAATTGGTATATTAATTTTACCAGTTCTTACCTTACTTATTTATCAGTTACTTACTTTACACATTTTAAATTTTATAATTCTTAACTCATTTTTATGATTTCTTATAATTCTTAATTTTAATTTAACACACAATTTTTGTTTTTATTCAAATATATATTTCTTTAAAACATAATTAACAAAAATCGAAGAAAAATCATGAAATGTCAAAAAGTAGATTCTTTTTCCAAATATATTCATTAAGGAAAAAACTAAATCATTATTTATCATTTTTTTATATATTCCTTTGTTTAAATTTTTTACCAATCAACAATAAGCATAACTGTTGATTGGCATTTAAAACAAATATTTTAACTTTTATACATTAAACATAATTTAAAAAACATTAGGAATAATTAAACAAAGACTATGAATAAATTAATCAAAAACTAGGACTTGCCACCCCTTTATGGGCACGTGACATTCCCTTAAAGTTTATTACAAAATATAATATATTATATAATGTTATTGATTATTATATATTTTGTTTTAACATATAATATACTATTTCTACTCTTCTTAACAACAGATTCTCCCAAGCTTGTATTTGATTTTCTATAGAAGTTATATAATTATTATTAATAATTTCTTGATGCATTTATCGGGCACATATGTCCTCCTATCTTGAATGATAAGTGGTTTGACTTTTTCTATCAATTTATCATTGATAATATTTCTATCCATTATTATTTCATTTATTTTTTTTTAATTTCCTCAATTTTTGACTTTATAATCTTCCTCGATTTATCACGGAAGACCATTTGTCTTAAGATGTTATGTTAAATATTTTGATTTTGAGGGTATCATATAACCGGTACATTGATGAATTAGATGATCATCCGCATTATATTCGAAACACCTTTTTTTGTATGTCAGTGGCAAGTTTGCTTTTGTCATCACCTCGGGAGGATATTGAGAATCGAGTTGCATACCGATATTCTTCAGAATTAGGGTGATTTGCACATAGTGCGTCTTCATGTTGATTAGTTGCGATTGGGTCTCCATCAATTGAATTTAAGACAAATTTAACAAAAAAATATTTTTATTCAACTTTATATTTAAAAATTTTAATAAATATTTTAAATTTATTTTACATAACAACACATTTTTTCACATATTTCAAGAAATTGTGTTAAATTTTAATCTAACTTTATTTTATCGTTTATACCAACAACTTTATCAATGAGTTATTTTAATCTTATACCACCCCTTTTATTGTTTATTAAATTCCCATGATGTTTCACAACATCACTCTCCAATTTATTTATTTTTTTATGTTTACATTGATATATTTCATTTCTATCACTTTTAAATACTTACATGTGTTATTGCTGATTTAAAATTAGAAATTCCCCCGTTTAATTCACGGACAATATCCCACTACAAATGGAAAACAATTTATAAAAATATTCATCGTTATAAACATATTTACACTAATTCACCACATGTCATTGGAGTTTTCATTTTTTTATATTAATTTTACAACTAATCTCTTAACTGATCACTTGTGAGGACATTACAATTTCTATAATATATTCTATGAATAAACATAAGCCAATTTACTTATCAACAATTAATTGGATTAATTATCTTGGGTTTAAGAATACCTACACCCTTCAATTCCCCTACACACAATTAATTAAATTAATTATCTTAAACCTTTTTTAAGAGTAACATATAATCAATTAATTTAATTAAGTATCTTGAGTTTATGAATACACATATTATTCAATTCACTTATAAACAATTAATCGAATCAATGATCTAATTTTTTTTATAAAACTAACAGATCACCATTAATTGAATTAAGGCTCTAAGATCTTAACCTTATATTATCATTATGCCTTATCACTAATATTTTTAAATGCAGTGTCTGATATTTGTTTTATTTTAAAAAATTATTGCCCCCTCCATAAATAAACAGTTGGCCTCCTTAACCAAAAATTCCTGGTTCTGGGCCTACTTGGCCGAAAATTACACGTTAATCCCTGACTAAAATTTGTACATTTTAAAAAGCATTCTAATTATAAAACCACAAATAATGTCTAATATAAAATTTCGTTGATGTCATGTTGTTACCTGACTCTTATATCGCCTAATTAATTATATAGGGTTCTGTCACGTTCAATTTCCATAATGATGAAACAACAAATATGTATTTAGTTTATTTATTAAATATAAAAGTCCATCAAGGTTATTTATTAATAGAAAATTTATATACATTTTTTTGAATTTCAAATTTGCACCAATCTATATAGTAAATGCAATAAAGCCTTTTGAACATATAATATACTCATTTGTAATGAAATTATTAATAAGGTAAGGGTAATAACAATACTCTTAAAGTTTTACAGGATAAAAGAACTCACGTAAGTTATTTCCCGTTGTATTGCCGTCTTAAAGATAAAAGTTCACGGTACAAATGGACATTGTTAGCTTTACCGCCGGTACTCCTATCACCGTTAGCTTTGTTTTCGCCATAACTCCTAGACAGACTAGAGTCAGATGTCATAGAACTTAAAGATGTTGAGGTACAATTATAAGTAGAGTTATGCCTATGATTTAAGTAATATTTGGTCTGACTATTGAGGGCTGTGACCCAGGCTTGAGCCTCCACTGGACTGGAAGCTGACATCCTATATACGCAATGTTTTCCTTCCACCACTTTACCACCTTCGTTATCCGACTTTTTACAAGCCTTTATGATTTCATTGTCGATCATGGGCAAAATTTCAAAGACGTTGGCATAGTTCCCTGCCCCTATATTGTTAAAATTGCCTGTGGTATTATTTGAAACATGATTAGACTTTGAGCTGTGAACCATAGTGGATAAATTATTAAAATTATCCTTAGAAGAGCCAGTTTTCGCGGGATAAGTAGTATGGGTAACTGGATTAAAAGTAGACGGAATAGGGCGGATTTTGAGATTTTGCAAGGGGATTATTCCCCGGGGTTCCTTATCGGTGGTAAATTGAAAGTAATAAAGGCAAGCGTCAGCCAGAACGAACCAACGACGTTTCCAAGTCTTATAACGGCCACCTTGTTTCCAGAGCCAACCTTCCTTTACGGGATTGAAAAAGGTGTGCATAAGATCATTACCTTTTTATTTTTTTTTGTATAAAATGTAAATACTGAATTTGTGATAAGTTTTCTTAAACGGGGAATATTAAAACCTTTATTTTTTTACTATAGAGTAGAAAATACCAAATCTTGGAATATTCTGAAAACGAGCAAAACGCGTAAAACAAAAAAAAAATGCTGTTGGACAAGAGATAAAATTAACCAATAGAAGTGTGGATTTATTAGTTTGAAATGACAAGCATAAAATAAAATCATATTTGACTTAGATATGGTAAATTGAAATTTAAGAGAGAAAAAATATTCACTTAAGCACCGTTACTCAGTATCGGCTGATATTGGTGGATTTAAACTTATATCGATGCTACCATTATATTAAATTAATAATTTATAAATATCTTTTTATTTACTATATAACATAATAGAAATTTTTTTTTTCATTTTGATCATTCATTTGATTAGGGTTTTTCTGAACCCTTAAAAATAGAAATGAATAAGAATATTGATAGTTTGTATGGAAAAAATATTCTTGCTGAAATTTTTCAAGAATATCTTTTTATGAGTAAACTAAATTCGAATCTAGGCCTAGATTAATTATAAGACAATGTTCACAACATTTATATTATATTAATCTTTCTTTTGCGCATATTTTTTTTTTTTTAATTTAAACAATTTTTATATTTTTGTATCAAAAAATCCAGGCGATATCATAAGATATTGGCACGGCCCAAGTCGTATAAGTGCATCTATTATTATAGTTAATCAATTTAATGCACAATAAAAACCCCTTCATAATTATTTTTTTGGGGATAAATTTTAATAAGGCGGATATTTTGTCCCCACTTATTAACTTCATATTTCAACGAAATATTATTTGAATTTGAATAAATTTATATTATTTAAACTCGTCATTTCCTTTATACAATTAATTATAAATATTAAATATATTATTTAATAAAATCTGAGCAAATTTTACAAAAATTTATATAGCATGTAAAATGATTAGAGTCCATTTTTGATTCCAAGTATACTGTAAGATTTTATTATTTTAAATCATATAGAAAGTTATTAAATGTCAGAAATGATTAAAGTATCAGCACCAATAGCTGGAGTCATGAATTGGTATTGTAAAAATAATTGATTTATGAATTTCTAAATATATCGATATGAAAGAGTAAAAATAATGTTTATACAGGATGCGAACCCGGCAAAATTTTTGATAGGGTTCGGTTTAAGATTAAAAAAAATAGGTGGGTTCGGTTCGGATATTTTTAAACCCGGGTTTGGTTCCGGGTTCAGCTCGGGCTTTTTTTGAATTGATAAAAAAAATATTTATATTTAAATCATAATTAAAAAACTAGACATAAATTTGGTATAAAAAATAATTTTTTATTTTATTTAGAGGCAAAATATAGTTAAAAATAAAAATACAAAGAATAGTCATGTATAGATTTTAAAAATATTAGTTAGACGTATTTCTTTAAATTAACAATATCCAATATATGATTTTTACTTAAACTTGTTCACTTTCATTTTCCTGTAATTAATAATCTTTATGAATAAGTTAAAAATTAAAAATAATTGGCGTTAATGAATTTAATTGTTTAAAATTTATTAACAATCCAATAGGAATCTTTGAGAATAAATTTTAAAAAATTTAAAAATTGAGTAAATGAATTAAGTTGTTTAAAATTTATTGACACTTCACTTAATTGGAAATTTGAAAATATTATAAAATGTCAAGTAAATTATTAATGTATTTACAATTATAAAAATATCTTATATCAATTTAAACAATACACTGAACCCGGGTTCAAATAAAATTCCCGGTTTCGGTTCGGGGTTTTGAAAATGGGTTCAGATTTTTTTCCCAAAAACCTGGGGTTTCTTCTCCAGGTTCGGTTCGAACCCCTGGTTTTATATTTTAATTTTAAATTTAGTTGAGTAATTAATAAACTTTATTATGAATAAAAAAATAAATTAATAAAAACATTTTTATAACCTGTTGATAATAAAAAAAATATTGGGAGAGGGAGTAGTGGAAACTTTAAATTTATTTTTTAGAAATGCCTTACCACGTGAAATTTTTAAATATTTTTTAATGCGTATATTTCAGAAGCACATCGGTAGATATGTACGAATCACGCTTCTGAGCAAAAGGATTTATTCAAATAAATACAAAACATTTTCGCAAGCCTAAACTAAATGATAAAAGTAAAAAAAAATTTAATCATTATTTTTTTATACAAAAACAAGAGAACTATAAAAATGTTAATTATAAAATCCTAATTTACAAAAAATATTAATCAAGTTTTATATTTAATAATGAATTCCTCATTTTTTAAAAAATTATTTAAAGATAAATAATGTTATTATTATTATCATATTAATCTCATAATGTTACGAAGGTTCAGGTTTTTTTAAAAGAATTAAATTTTTATGATGTAAAAATTGATGTGAAGGTGATGTTGAATTTTGTGAAATCCTTTTTGCCAAAAAATAATTTTAATCGAATCTCATTTCTAACAATCCAAAAATGCAAAATTTGCACTTGCATTAGAAATCTACAAATCGGTTTATTTTTAAAAAATAAATTAGGTTTAGGCTGGGTCAGGTCTAATATTTCTTTTTAAATTTCGGACTCAAATAAATAGATATATTTTAAATTTTAAGAAACAAGGAGCTTATATTTTTTTAACAATCAAAAAAAAATTAAATTTCTATATTTAAATAAATTTGGGCCAGGCCAACAAATTATTTTGATTTTGCGTTGGGCCTTCAGGAAAAATAAAAACATTTTGTTCAGGGTTGGGCAGGGCTGGGCAAATTTTTTAAAAAAAATTTGGGCCAGACCAGGCTTTAGAAATTAGGCCTGTTGCAGATCATTAACTTGCATTCTTATTTTTTATGTTGTACTTCTCAGCACCAATCCTTAATATTTGTTAAGTAATGACTATTTGTTTCATTATTTTTATGGCATTTCATTTAAGATTTTTGGTTTTTAATAGTTTAAATTTCATTTGCAATTATGTAGGACAATCACTATATCACATGTATGGCTAAATGAGAGTGAGGGGTATTTCCCACATTCAAAAATTAGTTTATTTTCACAAATATCATTTCAAGCTAATAAAAAGTATCCTACTACACTCCCAAATATATATAAAATATAAATAATCATTTAAAAGAAAAATAAGTATAAGTTTAAAAAAATTATAATTTTAAATTTCCAGATAATAAAAAGAGTTAACACCTCAAATTATTATATTTTAATGTAACCAGATAAAAGATTTGCAATAATTAATCTAAAGCCCTCCAATAAAATTTATAGGGAAACAACAAAATACTGGATATGATTATGTAATAATATTTTATATATATTCATAAAATAATCATATGGTGAAGCTATAAAAATAGCTTGCACCTTCAAAATAATGGAACAAGCAATAATCTAAGATAGTATAGAAATAATCTGAAGGGGTGTTATGGCAATATATCATAAAACCTGTTTGGGACATGATATGAAAGCAAATGGTATTTATTTTTATGTGCTTCATTTTCATACGTGATATAAATTTGTTTTAATTGAGTAATAATTTGCAAAGATCTCATTTTATTAAACATATTATATAGGAATTCAAACCATCATCTTCAGGAATTTTAAATGGTTCTTTTTTGATACTATTGTATAAAGATGACAAAAGATCATCAGGTAAATTTTCCCCTGCATCAATTCCTTTATTCATTTCAATAAATCTTTGCAGGGAAGGTTTTTCTTTAACACTTGGGTTATGTAAACTTGTATTAAGCATAATAATGGAAAATGATAATATATAGCATGTATCTGTATGATGAAATACACCAGGATTGCAATCACAATAATGTTTGGCAAAACATTCCATTAGTCTATCAATTTTTTGAGCCTCTCCTGGAAGTCTAAAACTCCAAAGAAATTGTCTCAAAGCTTGGACTAGTATCATATTTGTAAATTCATGAAGTTTAACAAAATAATTCAACACCTAATTAATTAAATAAATGAAATCAAACATAATATATTACTTCAATGTTAAATACATTATTTTCCCCTAAATACTCCCCAATAGCAGTTTTATTAAGACCTTCGCCATGATACAAAAAATATGCAATATCTTCAGCACCCGGTTTAAGAATTTCATTCTCTATCATATAAATTATGCCTTTATTTGAGTCCATATTAAATTTCTTTTTCCCAATTGCAAGCTTTTTCGTTTGAGAACTGGTCTTATTTTCTTCGAGAATATCCATATTCTCAATTTGTGCAGATATATCATTAATTTCGTCTTCTAAAGATTTAATTTCATTCAATAGCTCAGTTTTTCGATTTCTAATGACTGTAAGCATCTCTATCTTTTTAGGAGACAATATAGGGGAAGGCATTTTTAAAACTTGAGCAGAATCAACATTCATAATTTACTTGCTATGAAAATTTCACAAAAATTTGAATAAGCGTTCAACCATTGCAAAATAAAACATATGATACGAAACAATAAAAAATGAATGTAAGGAATTTGTATCTATATCAATGATATATATATCATTGATCTATATCCAAGGGATTAATACCTTATCCCAGTCTCTTTAAACTAAACTAGAAGTCAGAAAATATTTATTTTTTTAATTAAACGATAAATGGGATCAAATTATATTGAATGAACCCCCCCCCCCCCAATAAATTACCCTATAGCATTTAGGGATAGGTCTTTAAAGGGTAGGCTACTTTGTGTTAAATCTTTTTTCTTTTTTTATTAAAGTGGTAAAATGCGAGTGGTTTTATGTGCTGTAGGGAATCCTAATGTTATCGTAATTTTAATATTACTTAACATATCTTTCTACAATCCTTTATATGATATCATTTTCATAAAAAAGTTTAAACACATCTCCCCATGGCCTAGATCCAAGTTTTAGAGTTTTAATGGTGCTTGGAAAATATTTTTATTAAACATCAAATTATAGAAATGGATTTATACATGGGTAAAAAAAATAATTTCAATTAACGTGTATGGAAAAAATTAAATTACAATAACAGGTGTCACATATTGCTGCCAAATTGATTAGAAATAAATTGGAAAAGAATAACTTGATCGAAATAATTGAACAGATAGTAATTAAAATCTTGGGGTAATGTTTATGATAATCTTGAAAATTATGCGCTCTTAATTTACAATATGTATTTTGAACCATGATAATTTCAATATGGGAAATACAAAAAGAATAAAAAGCAAAGAGTTCGAAAAATAAAATTAAGGAAGGTAATTAATTAAAATAAAGTTTAAAAAGTTAAAGAATATATATAAATAGGTATTTTCGGATGAAAAAAAATATTAGTTTTAAAAGATATAAAAATAAATATATATGGAAATCATAAACAAGGCCAGTATTTTAATAAGAAGAGTGAAAATAATTAGTTTGGAAGATGTGAAGGATCTTTTAAATGACTTGTAAAATAACAACTGGGTTAATAGCTGAAGGAAATTGTAAATATTAAAAATTAAGAATAAAGAGTAAATTTTAAAATTAAAATTTAATTTAAATAATAGGTGGAAAAGTATATAGAAACAAAAATAAGAATTTATGATTTATTAATAACAAATAAAAGATGTTCAATATTTGAATGTTGATTTAATCTTATCTTTATTTTGTAAAATTAATATTCAAACATGACTTTTTATAGCAAGATATTTATATATTCCTATTCTTATTTTTGTAAAAGTTATTTTATATTTTATTTTTGGAAAAACCTTTATCGTAGCTATTCAAATATGTTATATTTAATTCAGTGGGGTCACTAGGGGGGGGGGGGTGGCGCGCTGGAATTCGAGCCCCATGAAAAATCTGAATACCTGAAGCAAATTTTTTTTTTAAATGGCTTCTTAATATCTCTTGATCTAAAATAAATTTTTTGATTGCCACCTGAACGATTTCTTTTAAAATTCTATTAAGTAATATATCGGTTTAATTTAATTAATTAAAAAAGACTATCTAATTTTTTATTTAATGAATACTATTTTAATTATTAGATTAGATTAATACATATAATTCACTATGTCAGCTTGCAATCAAATTCTGTGTTAAAAATAGAATATCAATATAACATTGAAGCTTATTTGAATTTTATTATTTAAATTATTATACCTAAATAAATAAATAAAATTATTTATTAATTGAAAATTAACAAATTTAATATTGTAATTAGCCGAGTTCAAAATCACTAATCTAATCAACTATATTATACATTTTTAAATTTAATTACCATACCTCTTCCTAAAAATATTTTCAAGGTCCAAATAAGTATAAGAGATTTCTTTATAAAAGTAAATGAGGTCTGCATTGGGCAGGGTTTGGGCCAGCCCACCCGCGCCCATATAAGTGGGTGGGCGGATGGGCGGGTAAAAAAATTTGAGAATGGACCAGCGGGCGGGTTAAAAAATTTGAAACTATGGACGGGTGGGTGGTCGGGTTAAGAAATTTAAACAATTGGCCGGAGAGTTAAGGAAATTTAAAATTTTTGTTCAAAAACAAACTAAAGAAAAATCATAATAAATTAAATGATCAATAATAATATTTATTTTTTTTTAAGTGGAGAACACTTTACTAGTTTTTCTACATCTTTATCTAATTGCTCCCACCATATTAAATGTCTCGTAATGGATTTCATTGATGTAATATCCGGATGTCCCATATGCAATATATGTAAGACTCTTTTTTGAAGTGAGTACGGAATGATTAATCTGCCATTCCAAAATAAAATACCGTCATCATTTTCTATTTCATCTATTCTTGTTCTAAAAGCTTGCAATTCTGATGTTTTATTTTGTATATTAGTACCATTTATTAATATTTTTACCTTCTTAAAATTGGATCTTTCGCGGTTTCCTCTCTTAATTCTTTTGTTGATAGAGATAATATGTCATAAGTAAGATTTTTTATATATTTCACTGTTTTATTTTAGTTTGTTATACTATCATCATTTTTCTCTATTGGGTTTTGCGATAAAACATCTGCAATTATATTATTAGCGCTATTCTTGTACATTATATTATAATCATATGCAGATAATTTATAAGCCCAACGTAATAATCTTTGGTTTGTCAATGAGCTTAAATCTCTGCTATTTCCAGGTTTGTGGTCTCTTCGTATTTTAAATTTTGATCCATACAAATAGTTTTTTCTACGCCATTTATTATTGCTTTTGTTTCTTTGTCTATTGTAGAATAATTCTTTTCAGCGTCTTGTAAAATTCTTGAGGTGTACACTATTGGAAATTCGTTATGATTATCATATTTTTGCCTGAGTACAGCTCCAAATCCTTGGTTAGATGCATCTGTTTCTAATATTAACCCGAGGGTCGATTTATAAAACGGTATAGTTTTTGTTCTCTTACGATTTCGAATAGCATGAAAACGATTACAAAAATAGCATGGTATTTTATTTTGGAATGGCAGATTTATCATTCCGTACTCACTTCAAAAAAGAATTTTGCATATATTGCATACGGGACATCCGGATCTCACTTGAGGAAGAGGATATACTTCAAACGGATATCCTACTTTGGTGGAAACGACAAGAAAGAGATTTGCCAAATCTATGAAGATTAGCAAGAAAAATATTTGCAATTCCTGCAATTAGTGCTACTTCTGAACGAGGATTTAGCATTGCTGGAAGGTTTTCAGAACAAAGAAGAACGCGTTTGAATCCAGAAAATGTCGATTCATTATTATTTTTGCATTATAATTACCTATAATATCAATTTTATTTAAATTGATTATTTTTTTTATTAAATTTATTTCTAAATTATAAACTTTTTGTAGAGGTGTAAAACTGAAATATTTTTATTAAATGCTTAAAAAATTGAAAGAATGGCCATAATTAAATTTTATAAGCGGGCTTGGATTAAAATTTTTTACAAATAATGAGCGGGCATGTAAAATGTTTTATGGGGGGCGGGCTGGTGGATAAAGAATTTTAGACAAATGGACGGGTCATGCGGGTATATATTTTTTTGAAAACTATGGGCGGGCTGGGCAAGCGGGTTAAATTTTTTTTAAAACATTTTGTGGGCTGGTTATCGACATTTTCTGGATTCAAACACGTTCTTCTGTCCAATTCAAACCTCTAATTTGACAATTATATAATATATAACAGTTAATAATTTAATAAATTTTACTGTTAAATGCTTTTGATAATAAATTAAATATTAACAATTGCATTTAATTATTTAACGCCATCTATTTATTTAAAAATTATATTAAAAATTAAACATCTTTATATTCATCCCACAATGAATGTAATAAATTAAATATCTTTTCTCCTCTTTTTTTACTTGAGGAAAGATATTTTTTTCTTCTTTGAAAAACAGTTTTGAGTTAAATATTTAATAAGAGTATATTTTTGATATTATTACAAACTACTATTATTTTAAGATATAATATACTTACTTGAAGTGATGCGACAATAATATATAAAATCTTAATTGCTTTCATCATATCACTCTGGTTCTTATTTTATAGCTACAAAATATTTCAGTTCTAATATGGCATCCTTGTAGTGTAAATAACTCAAGGCTTCAATATATTTGCAAAATTTCTTCTAATTATTTTTAGTGTTTTTGTTTAATCAATTTATCTATCATAACAAATTATGATATGAGTTAACATTGTGGGTGTCATGGCTATGACTGCAAATTAACCAGCATCTATTATTTGTGTGGCTATGTAATTTAAATTACTACAGCTGCTGAGAGCATATTTTAGATAAGCAATAATGGTCAACTGTGTAGTCGTTTATATATCATTAAAAATGGAAAATTATCTTTTAGAAATATAATATTTTACAATAATCTCGATTACTTATCTAACTTCCATCATGTCATCTGAGAGGAAGCTCTAACCATCATATAGTTTTATGATTTGAATAGGTCGTTTATATTATCTTCTTCAAGAATTGTTAATTAATTGGTTAGGTCTATAAATTTTCCCTCATTGGTCTATTCTATAAAACATTGTGTAAAATGGTAACAGAGTTATATTAGTTTCATTACCTTTTGTCAATGTAATTTGCTAAGAATTATATTGCTTTATGTGGTTTTTAAGAACCTTTATGAGGCATATGTATGAATTAATTAACCTTTAATTTTTTTTATATCAGCGAAAATATTTTATACTGTAACAAATAGATTTTGTATTAAAAAATATTATATCTTGAAATGCCTTGTATTGTTTTAATTATTTATATGCTAGTTTATTTTGTGAGCATAATATGATAAATGACAAAATATGAAATTTAGAATAATTGTTCCAAGTTAGCAAATCTCAAAATATATTATATATTAATATAAAACCCGGCCGAAGGCCGGTTAAAATGGGATGAAGGCCCGCAAATTTGTGGAGTATGGGGCGAAGCCCCCTATAATATTTTTTAGTTGATCCCTCTGAGATTGCAAAAGCTAGGGACGCCCCTGATTTAATTTTGTATATACACCGATGATATTTTGTAATAAGTAGAATTATTTACTTTTCCATAATTTTAATTATAAAATTGTAGTTTTTTTGAAAAAAAAGGAAGGGAAAAAGTCTGTGAATAGAAAATAAATTTAATTATGTAGAAAAGGAAGAAAGTAAATTATAATACATTTTAAGAATTGAATCAAGATGTAGGAAAATATTCAAAATATATAATCGAAGAAAAATTAATGATTTAAAATTATAATGTTATAATTAATGAGTATATATGAAAGGAAAATGAATAAAAACGAGAGGAAAGATAAATATTAATTATGAATTTTATCAAGATTAATATTACATAACTCGATTACGGTTAGTGATACGGATATCCGGTATTGAGAATATTAAAGAGTAAATCAAATACTACATTATTGCCAAGTTTCAAAAAAGGATCTCTTTTATTTTCGGTTTTGGCAAAGTGCCAACACTTTCTTATTTTGCTCATAACTCACGAACGGTTAATTCTGCTGATATGCCGTTTAAAGATTCTTATGTTCAATTAAAGGGCTACACATTGGCATAAGTATCGCTAATTGCACATCACATTTTATAAATAATTCCGCCTACTTCACTCTTCTCAGATAAATAAATATTACTCGCTTGCGGTTAATGATACGGATATCTCGTTTTGGGAATATTAAAGCACAAATTGTAAATTAATTAATTGCCAAGTTTCAAAAGGTAATCTATAGCTATAACTCGGTTACGGTTAGTGATACGGATATCCGAGTTTGAGAATATTAAAGAGTAAATTAAATACTACATTATTGCCAAGTTTCAAAAAAGGATCTCTTTTATTTTCGGTTTTGGCAAAGTGCCAACACTTTCTTATTTTGCTCATAACTCACGAACGGTTCATTCTGCTGATGTCTGGAAAGAAGTGCAATAAGGTGCTATTAAAGCTCTAAATAATGACATCAATTTTGTCAATTGCACCTCAAGTCATTCTGCTGCTAACTTCACGGAGCTCAAGTAGCTTTGTTAAACGACTAGATTTTTAAAAATAGCCCGATTAAGATTATAGTATAAAATATTTTATGGTTAGCCTTGGTGATTATGGTCATAAATAACAAAGGCGTTGGACCTCTACTTTCTAAGTCTCGAGAGACTACCATTCTATTATTCTATGCGATTTTTAAATCACTTGTTTGATTCTTGTTCATTTATTAGTAAATTGCCCTATTTTACTCAGAAATTTGGCCTAAAAGAAAGGGGGCCTATCATATATGTAATAATATTATGTTTCTATTTATTTTATAAAATAATTGAAGTAGAAAATTAATTTTTATTATATATCATGTTGTGTTTTATATCGAAATTGTAAATTATATATTAATTTGTTCGAAAAAGATAAAATAAAAGGATTATAAATTAATTTAGTTTACTGTGTTTTTATAAGTTTATTATAAATATTTTATAAGTTTAAAAAAAATATGAATATAAAAATTAAGTTATTAATATTTTTGATAATTTGTATATAAATAATTAAGTTAATTTCAAACTAAAACAAACTGAAATTCAGGGGAAAATATTTATAAAATGATGCCTAGAAAAATAAACTATATAAAAATTTATCTAAATTAGGGCGTAGCCCTAGTTTATCTAAATATCTGAGCTAACTTAAAAATTTTGATTGACAATTATAACATAACTAGTAGATAGCCCGTCAAAAATGACGGGGAATGAAAATTTTCTTTTTACTTTTATGCTAGATGTTACCTGTCATTTGAAAATAATATCCAATTTTTATACTTTTTACCCCCTCCCCCCTTCAGGCCAGGTTCAATCCATTAAAACTAAGTGTTATGGTTTGAGTAAAAATAAATTTAAAGCATATACTTGATTATACTAGTGTTGAAGTTCGTTTTTTTGAAAAAAATGATGAACGGCGTTCCTTTTATTTTTGACGAACTTTGAACGTGAACGCGTTCCTTTTTTATGACGAACGCGTTCAAATTTAACGTTCGTTCAATTTTAAAAATATTTTTATTTATTTGAAAAATTTAATATTTCCGAATTTTTTTAAAAAATGTACTATTTATATTTTTTAATCGGCTGTGTATTTCCTTTTCACATTTCAATTTTTTTAACACATAGTTTATTAATTTGAGTATTATTGTTTATATTATTTTTTAACATGGCTAAAATATATTATATTAAAAATATAAGTTTATTTATATTAAATTAAATTTAAAAATAATTTATCATAAAATTTTGAACGGTTTTATGAACGTGAACGCGTTCCTTTTTTTTGAACAAGAACTTGAACGTGTTCAATTTTTGTCAATGTACGTTGAGCGAGTTCGATTTTTTTAGAAATGTTTACAGAACTAGATAATACCAATATTATTTGTTAAATATTACTGATTACTTATACCTAATATTTAATATTAAAAAAAATTCCCAGGCAAAGTCCAAAGCCATATTAATTATGAAAAATTCTTCCAAGCCCAATGAAAGATCATAATAATTTTGGTAGTTGAGAACTGAAATAAAATATTTAAATAATCATAATGAATTTAAAAATACAATCAAAATTCAGATTTTCATGGCCTTGGTTTTTTGATCAGGTCAAACCCAGGCCTGCAAAAAAATTTGTTTTGGGCCAATGTCTGACCTATAATTAATAATAAAAAAATTCTCAAGCGTCCAAGCTCATAATAATTTTGAAAAATTTTCAACAAGCCTTGCCCAACATAATTTATAAAAATATTTTCCAAGCCCAGCCCAATCCATAATAATTTTATAAAAAAATTTTCTCAAACCTGGCCAACCGATAGTAATTTTCAAAATTTTTTTCCAAGCCTGGAGATAGATAAATCTCTAAAAACCATAGTCTATTTTAACCCAGCTCACCCCAACCAAGGCCAACCTATTATGACTAAGAGTGAATACTATTTTTTGAATAAAAATATATTAGATTTTACCTGAGGGCTATATAAATATTATGTGTTAAATATTACACCTATGCCTAATATTAAAAAAATTCCCAAGCCAGGTCCTCGCACTTGGTTTTCTCAATCTTGCAAATGACCATAATAATTTTAATAGTTGAGGCCTGAAATAAAATATATAAAAAGTCACAATGCATTTAAAAATACAATCAGAATATGAAAGTTGCATGGGCCTTGGTTTTTATTCAGGCCTTGCCATTTTTCTAAAAGAAATTTTCAGGCCAATTTCTAGCCCATATTCAAAATTAAAAAATTTACAGGAATCTTAGACTATAATAATTATGAAAAATGTTTCTCAGGCTATGTCCAAGTCCACATTAATGGTGAAAAATATTTCCCAAGCCCAGGAAAACCCAAATAATTTTTTTTATCCAGAAAAATAGGTCTTATGTAAGGGGTTAATAAGAATTAAATCTGTCTAATTTTAAAATTATCATCAAATGAAGGGTAAATATCTGATTTACCTATGATTCTACTGGTGAGCTCCTGGTATTTATATGAAATTCATGAATACATATTAAAGTATCATTCTGAAAATATGTTCATCTTAATTTAAATTTTAAACAAACCAAATGATTTATTACTTAGTTACAAAATTAAAATTAAATTTAAGAAATTATTATTAAATTACGATAGAAAAAAAGGATATGTCTAAGTTAACAATTTAAATTTTATCCAATATGATTTCCATCACATTTTTAAATTTTGATATTTCTAATACAAGCTCATGGTATACATTGCAACAATTTTATCTTTTTCTCTTAAATTTTAATATTATATAAAATTTATTATTAAAGTATATTTAATACCATACACACAAACTAAATAATTACCCTTCAACCCCATCGGCTAGTACGGTAATTAATAATAATAAACGGTAGAATTTTAAAAATATCACATATTAATTAATATCTATATAATTAATATTTTAAATTTAATTATAATCAAGTTGGTGCATGCGTAAAACATACGCCTTTGAAACTTGAATATATATATAATTAATATTTTAAATTTATTTATATTCAAGTTGGTGTATGCGGTAAAGCATATGCCTTTGAAACGGGAGGCTTGTGTTCGATTCTCGTAGAGAGCAAAAAATTAACATTACACTATATAGTCTCCTTAAATTTAAAATACATTAGGGAGATACGAAAACGATCGTTGATTATGGAGATAAAATTAACTTTACACTATATAGTCTCCTTAAATTTAAAATACATTTGGGAGATACGAAAACGATCGTGGTATGATTGTGGAGATTATATATATTAGATATACTTTTACAATATAATATGAGATTACTCATCGGATAATGAAATGGAAAAATTAAAAAAAGGAACTGTATAAATTAAATATGGCAATAAAGAGTAAAGGTGTAATTTTTACAACTTTTTTGGATCAGAGAAAATAAAAAAAAAGCAGAACAGGAGATTTCATAGGTTGTTTAATTAGACCCTTATACTAAACTATGTATATAAGTAAGAATAAAAAAATTCGGGCCATCTAACTGTACAAATATTTTTTGGCTGATTAACTTGTAGAAAATATTTTTTGGACAGGGTCGGATAATTTGTGCAACTCCTTGCACGACCTAAATTAATTACGAGTCGCGCTAGACATAGCCAAGCTAAAATATTTGGGTAGAACCGGGGAACGTGAAACATTTTTCAGATAATTAAATCTAGATTTATTTTTATGCTTGTTGATTATAAAATATAAGATCATTTTAATATAGAAACGCAAATTGGCATATATTAATAATAGATTATTTAAAGCCCTAAATATTTTACATATTCTACATAAAAAGAATATAAATTTAGATTATTGATCATAAAAAATCATTTATTTGGATTAATTCTTTAAAGAAATATCACCTACCTCAAACCCCATCATCAAGTCTTCCTAAACTCAACCTGAGCCCGGCTCTGAAACCGACATAAATAAAAAAGAGTTCAAGCCTCTAAAATTATATTTAATTGCATTACACTTTTTGAATATAAATAATGTCAAAATTTTACAAACAAAAAATAGATAACCTCTAGTGTTGTGCATTACATTAAATTTATATTAATAATTTAAAAAAATTAAGTGTCATTTAGAATTAGTAGTATGTCATAATCAGAAATTTATCATTGAATTATATAAAGTGAGCATATTTTGTTAAATGGTCTTATTCTCCTCGTCGATATGCTGTTCTTCTAGTTGTTCCATTTGTTCAACAATCAGCCTTTTAATTAATTTTGTCGCGTCGCCAGCTAAATTAGGAATATAAAATTTGTCCCACGCGTCTATTTCAATAATGTAGTCTCCGTCTAAATTTAAAAAGGTATTAAATTAGTATGAAAATATTAAATATTCACCAATTGACAGAGTAATTTAAATTTTTAATTAGTTTTAAATTTTAATAATTAAAAATAACTTAATTTAAATAGACTACATAATAATTTAATTGTGATGGTAGATAATGCAAGATTTGAATTAATATTTATGGAAAATGAATAAATTATAGTGCTGTAAAGTAACGTCATTCGTTACTTATTTTAAAGTAACGCGTTTGTTTCTTTTGAATAAGGGGCAAAAAGTTATTTTAAATTTTAAAAATAGCCGAGTTTTTAATTCAGGTCAACCCCGAAGGTCTTTATTTTAATTTTATTTATTTCATTTTTATTGTTGAAATTTATATAGTCAAGATTATTAATCTAATTAATATTGAATCAATCAAGTTATGTTAATTTATTATCAAATAATAATTTCTTTTATAAAGAATATGTTATAATATTTATCTCTTCAGATGAAGGTGATTTAATTCTGCCGCGGTCCCATTATGAAACATTTTTTACACCAATAAAGAAAATTGGCATTAAGTCTACACTTTGTAATTGTGTATTGTGCCATAATTCAAATATTTCAACCTTGTTGTCCAGCAGCTCACATTTAAAAAAACATAGGTAAAAATAAAGATAAAAAAATTGATGAGGATCTGAATGAAGAATCTTGTAAAGATCAGTTTTTTGAAAACATTCTTTAAATATATTTAATAAATTCACCCGATTAAATTTTTTATTTTAAATATAATACAACACTCCTATCCTATGCGCCAGTTGTATGTGTTTAGCAGAACGAACGCTGTGTTGAGTCCTAAGAGCGTTCTTGTTTATCTGATCAAAATTTTCAAAATCAATTGTTAAAAATAAATAAAAAATTATTACAAGAACTTATCTTATATTATTATTGTATAATTTTATTTTTATTATCTATGGGGTGGGGGGGGGGGAATAAAAATTTATATATCATTTTATAGTATTTTTTAAGTAACGCGTTACTTTTATTAATAACGCGTTCCTTCTTTTAAAGTTAATGAGCGCGTTTCTTTTTTTTGAAGTAATGTTTACAGCACTAATAAATTACCATAAAATTGATATTTAATAAAAGTTGTTTAAACTATATTTTACAAGGTATTTATTAAACTTGATACATTTGTTGTAAAAGGTTATTAAATTTTTAAAGATTATATGTGACTATTAATAAAATTTACCAATATCCTTCTCAAACTTCTTGCCTCTATCATAACTATCCTTACTGTTCTCTAAAGTCAAAACGCGTCCGTATTTAAATGTAATAATTTCTGGATTTCTTTTTCTGGAAGTTATTTTGACTATGGAAGATAGCGGACGAGAAAAAGAACACATATATTTTTCCCTATTTGAAGGACTATTTAGAATAGGACTTTCTGTATTATCACTATGACCGATTTTATTCTTTAAAACGTATATATGAGAACAAGTGACAAGTAGTAAGCTTGAATCATGGTGCAAAAATAATATATCTTAAATAAGTATGTATGTAAGAAAGTAAGTTTCATTGCTTGAATAAAATAGAAGAAATTTTTTAAATAAAAAAAACTTTTATACGTCTGAATAATTAATAAAACCTTGGAAAATTGTTATTTTTAACTAAATAATAACAAGGAAATGAATGCAAGGAATCCAGCTTTTTAATCCAGTCTTCTATAGACAAGAATAGTAATTTATATTTGACAAAATTGCCGTTTGGATTTATATCGTCGGTTTGTTTCGTATCATGCATATCATCAGATGAGGCTTTAAATAATATTTTTCGCATTCAAAGTTAAAGATTTTAAAGAATTAATGATTAAACCCATAGAATACTATAATTTTTTTATGTTATTTACAGAAGTTGAAGGAATAAAATAAAAGGTGATAATTTTTTGTTTTGAAAAAAGAGGGGTTTTGTTTGATTTAGAATTTTTAAAATATCAAATTGAGACTAATTATTTTGGATAATGCTTTTTAAATAAATTTTGATTTTCATGTATACAAAAAACAAATAACATCATCGTCTAAAACTTAACAATAAAATTCGATTTGATTAAATATTTTAGTAACTGGAATTGTTTGTTATTTAAATTAAAAAAATTGAGGTTTATGCTTAGTTTTCAAAGATTTTGAAATTTAAAATATTTTATTTTTGTTTCCTAGCTCCAATTATTTTTTAAAAAGAATAATGAATTGTGTGGTTGAAAATTTATTAAAAATATAATTTAGCTCAAGAAATTTTGATACGAAGAGAATGATTATCGAAAGTATTAAATAACCGAAAGTGTAGAGTGAGAATTTTCATTTTTAAAAATAAAGAAAATAATGTAAAAACAGGGATGAATCATAATCGATAAATTCAATCTGATTGATTTCAATTAAAAACATATTATTAGCAAATTTAAAATCTAGCGATAACTCTTACGATCTGGTAATCGAGCATTTTACTCAAAAACAAATTGCACATTTATTTATACATATTAATATTTTGTAAGGTATTGTAGATAAAAAAAACTTAATTACTTCCCTATTCGTAAACTTACGCCTAGCCGCCAACTTTAACAATACTACTATTTACACCGTTATTCATCTTTATATTTCGGATGATTCTCAAAATAATAATAATAAAAAATTGAGGTTCAAGCCGATTCACAGCTATTTTTAGAGATTCAGGTGACAAATTTTTTAAATTGTTTTGTTAATAATTCGCATTATTATATTTTATGAGTTATAAAAAAAAACTTTGAAATAATATCTTGGGATAGATCTTGACTGAAATAAAATAAAAATAACTTTTGATTGCTCAGTTAATCATCATTCTTATTTTCGGTTAGGTTATGCGGAGGGGGAGAGGGGCATGAAACTTTTTTAAATGTGTTAAACATGAGTATCAACTGAAAGATGTTGACTTGGTTGTTAAAAATCACTCTAGGCCTTGAAATCAGATAGATCTGAAGGAAGGGGGTGGTGGGTATAATATAATATCTTGACATAGGTCTTAAATTAAAATTAATTTGAAAATATTATTTAAAAAAATGCTCGATTGGAATAAAATATGAGAAAATTTTTTTTTATGGATTTAGTTTAGTGATATTTTAAAAAAAATTAAATGTTGATATTTTTTAATAAATTTTAAATAAAACTGAATCGAAGATTTGTTTTTAATAAAAGATTCATAAATTTCAAAGAAAGTTCGGAGTAGTTATAATAGCTCAAATGTTTAATTTTAACCCAATTTCACCTTACCATATTTATAAACAAGATTCCATTTTAAAATAGAATTCAGCAAACCGTAATTTATGTTTAAAGGAAACCGGAAAGTTCAATGTTTTTATAAAAAAAATTTATAATCATATCTAAATTGTTAAAATTAATGTAGTAAAAAAACATTTAGCAATTAAGTGACTAGTTCTTAGTGTTTCATATATTTTTCTGAGCAATTCTTTTCTACGTCCGTTTTATATCTAAGCAATTCATTTTATATCTGAGCTTTAGAGCATTTCTGAGCAATTCAGTTATAATTCTGAGGGAATAAATAAGAGCCAATGTCAAGTAAGTAAAAGGAGGAAGGACAAAAAAATTAATATCACCTTCTTCCTTTCTTATCGGGTTAGAAATTTGTATAATGGCTTAATATTGGCTAAAAAAGATTTTAAAGTTGAGGGCCAATTATCATTATTTTCTATCATTGACATCAGCAAAAATTAAATGTATCGGCGATACTTATACTGGCCAATATGAGTATCGAGCCGAAATGCCAAATATCGGTGTTTCACTTTAAAATTGTTTAACTTATATATTATTACTTCCATTATCATGGAATTATTATTTTTTTTATGGCGCTTCATCGTTCCTAACCCAATACAATTATCTTAAAAAGAAAAATCGCTTGATTACCAGAGTGATCTAATGAGTAGAAAATCATCCAAAAGTTATTTTCCCTAGGAAAATCTTTGGAAGGTAAATTATTCCATTATTAATAAAAGGGTAAGTAAAGCACTTCAATCATCAAGAGGTGTCAGATTATTAAAGTATATAAATAAGAGTATAACAAATCATACCTAATAGGAGTGTAATAAGAGGTACATTATAGCGATACAATGAATGAATTATAAGTTTGTTTTTTTGTAGTTAATTTTTTCTTACCATCATATTCTTCATCATCGGCTAAGGAAAATATATCGGGCCTATTTCGATATTGCTTGTTATGTAAATCAAGAGGTGATAAATACCTAAATTTATATTGAAAATATTGTTATATTTATAGGAAAAGTTCGTACATTCATATCATACTGTAATATAAATATAAAGGTTAAATTGACAGCATGAATAATCAAAGGCTGTATATCAAAACATTAAAAATTTCTTAGGAGTTTGGAACCTTGTCAAAAAAAGGGTTCTGGTTCCTAAAATTTTGAATAAGGTCCATTCCATAAATTTTATCCGGTTAAGAGTGTTCCAGGCTCATTTCCAAAATCTGGTGATATCATTCGTAATAGCACGTTTAACAAAATTATCCTTCTCATTCATTTAATCTAAAGTCATCTCGTGTTATAATCTTAATATCATCAAATCTTTCATTAACCACATCATGCCATTTTTAAACTATCAGATGCCTCCATAATTTTTTCCCCTGAATAATATCATCCTTTTTTTCGCGAGATGAAAACGACCCCAGGTATTTATTATTTAAACTGTACTTGATGGTATGATTGTGGGAGATTCGAAAGACAAAGTTAGGGTATAGGAGATAAGTGTGATGCATGGTACAAAAAAAATATATTACATGACTGCCGATATTAAGGGTACTTTTAAAGAAATCTGGGGGATTTGGGTAGGTGGAAGGAGGGCAAGACATTGGGGAGGGGGGATACATGAATATGTTTTTTAAATAATATGATTTATTTATGAAGAAACGATATTACTTTGACACCATCTTAAAATATAACTATATTTATTAAATACAAACCTATTTTCATTAGGAAAAGTTGTAGAACTAGATGAAGATGATACTATATAATTACTAAATCGTTGCTTCATTTCTTTAGTTTTGATTTTCATCACGCTAGAAAATTTACCCAACAAATTGTTATTCGATGATGGCTAAAAAGTTAAGAATCAAATAAAATAAATTATATAATATTTTACTATTAATATTATATGATTATAGAATAAATCAATATTTTTGGTGTAATTCTTATTCCGGTAATATCATAATTTATATAGATCAGAAATTTTAACATATTATATAACCTATAAGGTAAAGACTGAAAACCTTAAGATGATAAATTTTCAGGGTACTAAAATCAAAAGTCAAACTACCCTTTGTTGAATCAAAATTGTGATTGAACAGTAAATATTTCCAGAACAGTTTGAATTTAAATAAACCAAAATATATATTTAAAAAAAATACAAATCAATCTTTAAACTTGTTGATAGAAGTGTATCCCGTCCTCTGCCGATTCTATATCCCTATCATTAATAGAGGCATCGGTGCATATTAAACATTTTTTAGAGTTGTGTTGAGATAAATTGTCTTTCAGATTTGGTTTTAAGGCTTCGTGTAATCCTGCAATTTTAATTGATAAAAAATACTGTATATGTTAATGTAGGGGAGCGAGGAAGATTCAAAATAATTATTAGGTTTTTGTTTTAAATTATACCAGCATAACCCTCCCTTAATATACTGATATATTTGTAACATTTGCGCAAAAAATGTGAGGCCACCATGTTTATAAGCAATGATTCACAATCTTTCTCCTCTGGCGCATCGGTTTGACTTAGTTGTGATTGTTGTATAAGCGACCCTCCCCCCATGAGGCAAATATGTTTACCACCAGCTTTAGAATTTATGTTCAAAGAATTTTTTTGAGCCGCCATTAGGGCCAGGATAGCGCTTTCGAACTTTGTCGCATCCTGAAGCATCTTAATTTATATGTTGAATATAGTGTGTAAAAGGTCATAATAACTCATATTTATTTTTAAAAAAATAGATTTATCATAATATCAGATTCTGTATCATCGTGATATTGTTACTTTAAATGCGGTTCCTTGATGGGAAAAAAAATAATGCCATTCATTACGAAAAATAACTAGTAACGCTAATTTTTTTCTGAAAAACAACGAAAAAGTAATGTCTTATTTTTTGGAGCAAAATTTACAGAGATTTTTGATTATTTATATATTGATATGTAGTTCTGTAGAATTATTACTAATGTGGCATCTAGATGAAATGCAGTTGGGTGATGTCCATTATTGTATTGATCAGCAGGCCTGCAGTCCACCAAGAAAAAACTTATCTTTTCCAAATTATCCTTGTTTGGATCCTAAATTTCAATGATTCGTTATATTAGGAAATGTTTTTTTCAAATATGTAATAACTAAAGCAAACTTAGCCTAAAGGCTTGGCTAGTTTACTAACTAAGCTAGTATAAAAACTTTCTACTGGGTTAACTAGTTTGTATACTAGCTAGCTAATTTTCGTTTTATAAATTTTTTTTAGAGTTTGGAGTATATATTATGATTTATTATAACATATGAGAATGTAGGTTCGAATCCGATTATCTCGAGTTTTTATATAATTTTCCAATTTAGTAAAATGATTTTTAATTAAATTTTTAGATTTTTATTATCTTACTATTTTTTCCTATTCCTATTCCTATTCCTGTTTAAGCATTTTATTATTTTATGAAATTAACCTGAGTCTGCCTATTTTTTGTATTTATATAAAATTTTTATTCGTTGTTTTGAAAAGTACGTGTTCCTGTTCCTTTCATTTTAAATGGATTTTGAAAGAAAACGTATTTATTTTTTTGAGTACACTTTTTTACGTAAAAGCTAAAATTTATATTTAAAAAAGGTATACATTTTTATTAAATCTCCCTTTAATAAAATATTTCATTGTTATTCAGCTTCAACTATGCCTTTCAAATATTTTTAAGCTCGTTTAGTATTTGGATTAGTATCTCTAATATGGTTTATATTTATAATTATTTTATATATATCATATACATAATCGGGAGGGGGGATTTCTTACCCATTTGGAAATTTCTGCTCTCGTAAATATCACCTTAAGCTAATAAAAAAAATCCTTGGATATATCCCCCTCCTCACAGCTCCCTCTCTCACTGAAATGTCTAAAATATATCACTATGAACAAGAATTTGAATGAAAATTAAGTAAAAGTTAATAATTTTTTTAAATAACAACTATATTTAAATTTTTTTTTTTATAAAATAATAATAATATAGCAAATGCCTAGCCTACAATAAGTGGACATAAAGATCTTTAATCCCCCTTATCTAAATCCTAGCCTGTCTATGATAATATATCTGGTAGTTCAGATTAAGGTGATATATCTTTGCCATGCCTAATTAATTTCAATTTTTTATTTAAAACAAATATTAAAATAAATTATATAAAAATATTGTTAAATCATGAAGCCAAGGGCCACTGTATTATTCATTTTAGAAAATGAAGATAACATGAATTTGAGCCTACAATAATGATAATATTACTCTAATTATAAAATTTACATGTTAAACGTATTGCTAACCACTATGTTAATAGATGAGAAGGATATATGTTAACTTATTAAATCCAAATAAATTTACATTATAATCTTTCTAGATTTAAGTATATATATATATATATATGAAAATCAGTATATTATTTCCTTTACATTCGATATTTAAACTCAAATAGTCTTAGGTAAACTTTCGTAAAATAAAATAATTAGAAATAAATTAGTATCATTATTAAAGAAACTACTAGAAAACCAAGATATGTAGAAGTTTTAGAAACAAAGAGCCTATTATGAAATCTTCTTTTGAAGATGAATTAGTGGAAAATTCGAAGAATGATCGTTTATCGAAATTTTCTTTAATAAAAAATAGAACATTCATTTTCAATATATTTCCAGAAATAAGATATTTATCATAAAATATAACAATGAGATACCATCTTAAGTTCCAGTGTAACGCTAGCATAACAAATTAGTTTTAACCAGAATTAAGAACCAAAACCCTCATAGCTAAAACCATCATTCATTTTATAAAATTTTAAGAACGAGAACCGGAACCTCTTTGAAAAAAATTCAGAACTGGAACATGAACCAGAAACGCTTTTCGCCCAAGTTCCAAATTGTGGTTTCAATTACAAAATGTTCTTGCTTAACAGATAAAAATTATGAAAAACAATTCTTATTAAAAATTAATAGAAAAAATTAATTAACAAATATCAGAGTTGTTAAAGGATCGAATCAAAAGATCGCCGATCGTGGATTCGATCCTAAATTTGTCAATTGATCCTTTAAATTGAGGATCGTCATTGAGATCTTTTTTTTTAACATTCGAAAAATTAATTTTTTACTTAAAAAGCAATAAATAAAATAAAAATTAAATTAAAATATTATTTTTTAAAAAAATATCTATCTACATCATATTTTATCAACTTCCATTCCACCATATTTTATATTTCAACAATTTCCTAAATTTTATCTAGGATTTAGAGCCTACAAGTTTTATTTATCTAATTATATTATATATAATATAAATAAATTCTAGGTTTTAATAAATTATAGATTTAGAAGATAATTTATCTACTATTGATGTGATAGCAGATATAAGTGAGAATGAGAATCTTTTACCATTTCATAATTTACATAAACATTTTACTTTATGTGAAACGGATGGAAGTAACTATACAATCAGTGCAAAATGCTATTTATGTAAGACAAAATATCTTCTTCAAGGATTAGTAGTTCAAACCTCAAAGTCTAAATATAATATTAAATTTAATCAATATTTATGATATGATCATAAATACGATACAGATGGCCAGGCCTGACTGTTAAATTTGAATATGCTAAGTTTTGCAGATACCTGATTTATTTGAATGAACACTTATTTAATAATAAATTAATTATCATTTCTTAATATAGATTCTGCACTGTATGATGACAGTAACATTAGCAGAAATTATTCACCCAAAATATAAGCTAAACTGGCTTCATATTAATCTGTCACAACATCTGTTGGTAAAAGAAAGGTTAATTGCCCATTTGGAAAATATGCAGGATCAACCACATGTGGATGCTTCAAATGAATGTATGGATGAAATAGATACTTTTTGGAAAAAATTCTCCACAAAATGCTCGTTCTTAATAATTTTTTTTATTCAAATGATGATTCAATAAATATTTTTTATTCAAATGATGATTCAATAAATATTTTTAATACTTATGTTAATTTAAAAAAAAATTTATTGAATCTAACACACCTTTGCCATCCAGAAGCGAATGAAAGACGTGGATATTTAAATGATAATAACTTAGAAAAAAATTTATTATTAAAGGCTAATTTTAATTATAAATAAATATATTCTAATTGTTATTCAATTACAATAAATTTATACAATAAGAAAAAAATTTATTATTAAAGGCTAATTGTAATTATAAATAAATATATTCTAATTGTTATTCAATTACAATAAATTTATCAGAGTTGTTAAAAGATACTTTTTAAATGGATCTAGATACAGATACATCATCTAAAATAATATCTAGATACAGATATTTTAATCAAAAATCTATCTAGATACAGATAAGATACCACATTTTTATATCTAGATCCTTTAACAACTCTGAAATTTATACCATATTTAATTTATTTTTATATTAGTTAATTTTGCATCGATTAGAAATTTCCTTCAGAAATTTAAATAAGAAAAGGATCGTGATCGCGATCCTTCTTTTTTAAAAAGGTCGATCCTGGATATCGATCCTCTTTTTTTGAAAAGATCGTGATCGGGATTCGATCTTTTCAAAAGGATCGATTAACAAGCCTGAAATATTATATTTTAAATTTTATTTGACATTTCTTTTTACACATTATATTATAACTATAATAAATATTAAATTCAACGGCTAACATGTTATTATTATAATGAATTTATTTAAATTATGCATTTAAAAAAATATATTTAGATATGAATGAATGCATTTCTTTGCAAATCAATTATGAATGCTAAAACATATTGGTTAAAGAACTATGGACAGTGGCGTAGCTACCGGGGAAGGGCAGTTCGAGTTTAAACCCCCTCCTTCAGAGCAAAATTTTTTTTAGATTATACGTTCAAAAGACTCAAAGGTGACTTTATATCAAATAAATACCAGAGTTGTTAAAGTAGCGCGCTATCTTTTTGGGTAGCTATAGCTAATAGCCGCTACTTTTTTAAAATTATTTAATTTTTTAGCGCGCTACTTTTTTTAAAAGTAGCTAAGTAGCGCGCTATTTCGCTACTTTTAAAAATATAATGAATATAAGTATAAACATGAAAATTTAAATATAATATCATAATTAATTATAATTTTTATAATTTATTATTTAATTTTGAAATTTAAATATGTTTTCAATTTTTAATTTATATTTTCAATCTGTGTTAAAACTCTAAAATGGCATCGTCATGGATATCCAAATCCTGAAAGTGATTCAGATATGGAAGATTCAATGGAAGAAAATGTACTTAATAGCTCTAATAACGTTTTTCCATTCCCTAAATTTGAAAATTTTTTTAAAATAAATATTAAAACAAAATCTGGATTCAAATTCATGTGCTTAAAATGTAAAAAAAATATATCATCAAATAAATCGAGTAGCTATAACCTGAAGAAACACCTAAAGGTAAATTGTTATTTTTACATCATAATATTATTTATTTTATTAGACTGTTCACGCCAATTGCTATAAGGAAATAGAGAAACATATAAAAAATTTTGGTATAGGAGAATCTTCATTCAAAAAGACAAATACTATCCAAACCAAATTAACTGATAATAAACATGCCAATATTTCACAAAAATTGGCTGATAAAGTTATTGTTGATTTTATTATTGACACAGTTCAGCCAGTGTCTTTGGTTGATAATCCATCATTTACTCTGATGATTAAAACTTTATCCCCTGGCACAACAGTTTTATGTCGCCAGACACTCATGAATAAAATAGCCGACAACTTCAAAGTGATGAAAGATGCTCTAACAATAGAGTTATCAGATATATCTTATGTATGTACCACAGCAGATAGTTGGACACATAACAGAAGGTAAAAACTTATTTATATTTATAAATTGATCTGATTAAATATTTTTAGAGCTTATTTGGGAATCACAGGCCATTGGTTAGACCCTAGGACTTTAAAAAGAAGATTTGTAGCCTTAGCCCTTAAAAGGATTATAGGATGCCAGACATATGACGTACTTGCAAATAAAATTGACATCCACAAGTCTTTTAGGATTCATAATAAAGTTTGCAAGATGGTTACTGATA